TGGTGAAAAACAACAATGATACAATGTAACCGATTAGCTTATTCAGCTGCGTGTACGTCTCTCGTCCGCACTCATTTTGAATTTATATGCGTGTCATTCGCAAAGAAACCACACCATGTCAGTTAATATACTTATTTCTTGACAACATCAACCACGGACACAATTGTTATCATGCCGACATGTTCTTTTGCCGACAAGTAAGTCGATGATTTTTGAGGGAGTTTATGTTCTATTTCCGTCATTCTTTTGTTTTTGTCTATGTCAGAAAATAAACAACAACGGAAGCGTACGTTCAGACTTGAGGGACTCGTCGAAATACGAATTTAAATACAGTTTAATCTGCTTTCTGGCCTGAGTAACGCATGATATTTCATCGATATCGTGCACTACAATGTCACTCAATTTATGACTTCATTGCTCCGGGCGATTTCTGTAACAGGCGAATATAACCCAGAACCACGGTCACTAAAAAAGACCGTGCCGGAACTATACGTCTTCAATGTAATCACAGTGACTAAACCGTGATGCAATTGATCTCAGTTCACTATGTTGAATAATCTGTTTTTAAATATACCCAGAGGATTACAATGTTCTGTAAACACACTCTGTGCCTGGTGCTGATAACAAGAAACTAATTAACACTAGACATTATGCATAACCACTCCCCAATAAACAAGGATTATCTTGAAAGAAATCTTCGTGCTTTGCTTTATGAATTCAACAAAAGATGAAAAAATGTTCTTGCTGCCCATGGATTTTCTCTTGAAAAGTCAGCAAGAGGAAATTGTTATTTTTATGGCTGGTCTAAGTGAGCTAGCTTCATTTTTTACTCCAGTGTGCAATGCATACAATGTGAGTCTTTACGGTTACTCTGTCTGTATGCACATGTATGTATGTTTTACCATCATTTCAAGAACCGCTGGTCAGATTTCAATGAAATCTATTCATAATATTTACCTAATTTGCATAATAATAACAAAATTGTCATTTAACTATAAGGCCGTCGCTGATTGGCTGCTGAGTGGGAATGACAATTTTTGGTTTCAAATACCCTGGAAAGGGTTCTATGTTCTTCGTGTAATTTAGGTGTTCGTATGCAAGGAATTTTTCCACACAAAAACGACGAATTCGGTCGAATTTTGTTATCGGCTGGCTTAATATTACCCCAACTGATTGTTTAGCTGTGAAAAATTGGTATTTTTTTCCTTGTTTGTAGGGTTTGCAGAAAAATGTGTTTCATAACTTGTCTATTTATTTAATTCATGCTGTATTCAAGATGGCGGGCCCCATATAGTAAATATCGCACTTGTGTGCCAACTGGCTGTGATTGCAACCACCAAAGAGAACAATTTTGTGCACTTTGACATCACATGCATACACTCTGTGTATGGTATTTCTGTATAGATCCTGTAACAGAGTCTGAATTGGATCAGTGTGAAAGAGACATGGGATGCAAACTACCCATAGATCTGAGATGTTCATTCAGGATACATAATGGTCAGATCAATGAGCTGAAGGGTTTGATGGGATCTGTTGAACTCGGTACTTATCATTATTCACGAACCGAATTGTTACTGGATTTAAAAAGTGCTATAGCTGGATTCAATGTAAGTCTGTATTAATAGTATTCTTTTTTCAGTTTTGATTCTGTTTGATTTTCTTTCAGTGTTATTCTTCTTCTGAATTTATTTTTGTTTGTAATCATTTTTTCTCCTCTGGTAAAAGCATTATAATATTGCAAAAATGATGGCCACTATCCACTAAAATACAACTATCATTTTCTTGAAAATGTTTTTTTTCAACATTGAATGTCTCTGTTGTTTCTTGTTGACTTTTTTGGTGCGCAAATTGTAAGTGTGGGTGCTGACACAAGCCATATTCATGTTTGAGTACATGACAAGGTTGTACATCCATCTCTTTATCAAATGGAATTATGGCAACCATTTCACCACCAGCTCTCTCTGTTCATCACAAATTCACAAAATACTTTTGTTTATAGTCTGCACATTCCTTCAGAACATTTGGGACAAATATAGCAAAATTTTTTGAGTAAAATCTGAAAATTAACTCAAATTTTGTCTGTTGCCTCCAAAGTTCGGTTTCATTTCCAGAAATATTGAAGAATGTATGAAAAAAGTGCGAGAATGTCTGGTGGTGAAAAGGTCAATGTGCCTGGAATTAAACCAGGATTCCCCACAGTATTGTAGCAAGGTTTTTAGGTTGAACATCGCATAAATTTTAAAGCCCAATGAGATTACAGGTTTTATAATCATTCTTTGTTAATTGTAGAGTGCTGAGTCTGGCTGTCTATTTCCTTTGACGTTTTGTCCATTTCATGGTACATCTCAGTACATGGTACTCAAATCACAGCATTCTATGGTATCTGGTACAGTGATTTATCCATGTGAGGACCCAGCAGCACTGTACAAAGATTACTTCATAAGTGCAGGGACATTCACAGAATGGTTATGCAGCTTTGCAAAGAAACTTCAGCAGAATAAATACCGTGCTAGAGACGGAGTGATATACAGGTACATGTACCATACCACATGGTTTGACACTGACCAGAAAAATCTACTACTGTAAAACAATTAATTTTCACTGGCATTTAATTTCACTTTTTTGATGCTTTCAGCAATTTCACTAGGTTCATGAAACTGGCAGGGAAACAATATGTATTGTTATTTTACATGTTCATTTGAATTTAATTTAGCAGATTTTACTTATCGGTGAGAATAGCAAAATTAAAACCCAGTGAATAATAAATGCATTCACAGTAGTCCACTGGAAAAGTACATCTATAATTTGGGTGGTCTCACAAAAATGAGTAAAGCATTGTTGGGTCATCTGTCTATGTGTCGACCATCCTCTTTCAGTCATTGTTTTCATTTTATGGCAATTAAGTGAGTGAAATCATGAATATGGATATACTAAAAAAAATAACTACACCATCTGGCCATCATGCAGACCATTTTACTGTTCTTGGCAAAAATTTACTAGACTTGAGGTGTTGGCTAGGCCAGTATTAACCCTGTACTACCGTATATCATGTATGTTAATATGAGGTTATTACGAGGATACAGAAAAGTATGCAAGAGGACAGTACAGGGGAAGTATTGACCAATGCGCATCAGAGGTAGATGCGTACAGTCTGAATGCATACTTTGAGGTATCTTTGTAATAACCTTATTATTATACATCTTTTCCTCCCAATGATACATCATGGGAATGCCGAAATCCAAAAAGTTTCAAACAAAATCAGTGAACTTCTTTGTGTGGAGTCCAGTCAAACCCTGGTGGCAGCCATGTTTGTTTTTATTATTAAATATCATTATGCAAATGACTAAACTTACATCATAGCCTCAAATCATCACGCTCACAAAATGGCCACTATCCACTAAAATACAACCATCATTGTCTCAAAAATTAGGCTGGTAAACCTCAACTTTTTTAAGTCAATATCCTTATATTGCTCAGGAGTACAATTTACTGCAAAATGAATAAATTCTTGGTATGTATTTGCAATTACTCTATCACTCTGACTAACTAAGACACATGGTAATTATTACTCTCGCAATTCAGACTATTTTGAAGAAAATTTAATAGCATACATGTACCTAGTTAGTTCACAGCACAAAATGTCTACAAATTTATACATACTAGGAGGTGAAAGAGAAATAGAATAGCACACCAGCTGTGAGTCAATGTCACTATAAAATCAAATAGAAAATGTTTGTAATAATCTGACAGTACTTCACTAAGATTGATTTTACTTTTGTAATTCCTAGCCTAATCATTACTTGCATTGAAAACCAAATAATTTGCTTCTAACTATGTACCTACCATATTCTTCTTGAAGTTTATACCAGTGAAATATTGGGTTTCAGGTATTACCATGATGACAACTGTGTAGCCGTTACCAATCATATCAAAGTTACTGTGGCAACTTGCATGATGCCTGAGTTGAGTTCTATTAATCCACCAAAGTATATATTTGCATATCATATCACCATGGTAATGGATGAGCAAGCTCCAAGTTCAGGTAAACAACACTTACAATATGTGACCCCAATATATGTCAGTGTAACACACAAAAAAACATGATGCCATGGGGCAATAGCTTCATGATTTTACACAACCTGATAACTTTACAATCAGACCAGTCAGAGATAGGTTTTAGTGACAGGTTTTCTCAACGTATCAAATTCTGCCTTGTATATTGACAAAAGATATAGCAAAATTGATTTTTGTATGCAAATTATCTAATTAATATGTACAGACAGATCATATAATGTCTTTGTATTGACTGTTAGTGTATTACATTGTATCAAATGCTGCCATGTATATTGACCAAAACTGCCAAAATTGATTTGGTATGCAAATTATTCAATTAATATGCATAGACAGATCATATAATGTCTGTGTATTGGAAGTTTGTTATTACATTGTATCAAATTCTGCCTTGTATATTGACAAAAGATATAGCAAAATTGATTTTTGTATGCAAATTATCTAATTAATATGTACAGACAGATCATATAATGTCTTTGTATTGACTGTTAGTGTATTACATTGTATCAAATGCTGCCATGTATATTGACCAAAACTGCCAAAATTGATTTGGTATGCAAATTATTCAATTAATATGCATAGACAGATCATATAATGTCTGTGTATTGGAAGTTTGTTATTACATTGTATCAAATTCTGCCTTGTATATTGACAAAAGATGCCAAAATTGATTTGGTATGCAAATTATCTAATTAATATGCACAGACAGATCATATAATGTCTGTGTATTGGAAGTTTGTGTATTACATTGTATCAAATTCTA